TTTGCTGTAACAGCATGGACTCAGGATATCATATGGTGTTTTGTCTTTCTCTTTCTGACTTACTTCACTTAGTATGATAATCTCTAGGTCTATCCGTGTTGCTGCAAATGGCATTATTTCATTCTTTTTTATGGTTGAGTAACATTCCCTTGTATATACACACCACGTCTTCTTTATCCATTTATCTGTTGGTGGACATTTAGGTTGCTTCCATGTCTTGGCTATTGTAATTACTGCTGCTATGAACATTGCAGTGCATGTATCTTTTCAAATTAGAGTTTTCTCTGGATATATGCCCAGGAGTGGGATTGCTGGATCATGTGGTAACTCTATTTTTAGATTTTTAAGGAACCTTCATACTGTTTTCCATAGTGGCTGCACCAATTTACATTCCCACTAGCAGTGGAGGAAGGTTCCCTTTTCGCCACACCCTCTTAGTGTTTATTACTTGTAGATTTTTTTTTACTGATGGTCATTCTGACTGATGTGAGGTGATACCTCATTGTAGTTTTGATTCACATATTTTCTGATAACTAGTGACGTTGAGCATCTTTTCATGTGCCTCTTGGCCATCTCTGTGTCTTTTTTGGAGAAATGTTTTTGTTTAGGTCTCCTAACTTTTTTTATTGGGTTGTTTGTTTTTTTGCTTTTTTGTTAGTGAGCTGTATGAGCTGTTTGTATATTTTGGAAATTAGTCCCTTGTCGATAGCATCATGTGCAGATATTTTCTCCCAGTTCCAGTAGGTTGTCTTTTCATTTTGTGTATGGTTTGCTTTGCTGTGCAAAAGGTTGTAAGTTTGATTAGGTCTCATTTGTTTATTTTTGCTTTTATTTTTTATTGCCTTGGGAGACTGACCTAAGAAAACATTGCTACAATTTATGTCAAAGTATTTTGTCTTTATTCTCTTCCAGGAGTCACTTAACATTTTTTTAATGTTGCCACAATCAACTTTTATTTGTATTTTTGTAAAATTACTATGCTATAGTTACTGTGCATTAATAGTGCACTTGATTGGGCTCTTAAATTTTATTTTCTTGGAGAAATCTATGTTTGTCTTTGTTAAAAAGTTCTCATATGTGCATTGACTGATTTTTTTGATGGTATATAGTGTGGCTTTGTTGTTATTTATTCATTTTTTCACTTGATGGTTTAAGATCTAGAATATTGATTCTTTTTTGATTGTCATACTCATGTAGCATATGTATGTGAGGAGGTTACGTATTTGGTACATGGGTATGATAGAGAAAGAAATTGAGAAGTAGCAAGTGTAATGAATGAGATCAGCTACCTTTTGAAATAAGCTGAGCTTGTCTGCTTTAGATGTATGGGAATTTGGGAAGACCCAACTTCCAGTACGAAGACTTGTGTCACTTTGTTGTAAATCAGAAAGTTGAAATACAGTTGATTGTGTTATACTTTGCTTTAAGGAAAACTATTGCCAGAAGGTTACCTATTATAGGACCTGGGCATAAAGGGCAATCTGAGAATATAAACTTGTCAGTGTTTACCTAGACTTTCCCAGGGAGAAAGAGTGACTGAACCTGGTAGTTGTGAATAGCAGTCATTGGAGAAACATTTTCTGTGGTTCATTTCATTTCTTAATCCATTAGCTTTCTTATCCTATGATGCCATCAACACAACTTTCTCCAAAGTCTTTAATAACCTTGTCTCTAAACCTAGTAGATGCTTATATCTCTCATCTGTGTGCCCCCATGCAGCACTGGAGTTGACACCTTCCTCCTTCCTCTCCTCCTTGTGTTTCCCACTGTTTCCTTCCAGATCTTTTTCTATATACTTGATACAGATTTAAAAACTGGTATTGTATCAGGTTTATCATTTTATATCCTTTTTAACACATTGCATTTTTTACATGAACTTTAATGGCCATTGTACAAATATACCATAATCTTAAAAACCATGGAAGATTCTAAAAGAAATGTTCATTTTAGAAAACTTCCTGCCATGGTATAATATATTAAAATCATCTTGAAACCATATGTAAGAAAGTAGAAGAGTAGACAAAAGTGCAATAATCTTAATAGTTCACTTATGATTTAAAGACTAATGATGAGCCTTCTGGAATATTATTGGAATGAATGGGAGGCAAATGTGATCTTTGTCAAGTCATTGGAAACTTTCTCTCTCTGTTTTCTCGTCTATGAAATAACAATACCATGTCTCTGAAGTCTCTTCCAATGTAATACTCGGTGATTCGTGAATTAGCACATGCCGGGAAGTCTGGATCAACATGTCCTCTGAACCACACCAGTTTGTTCTGTGATGGCTGTGATTATTATAGATTGTAGTGTACATACATATTAAAATTAACTTTAAAAATGCCCTGTTTACTACTTTATTAAATTATTGGTCATGTGGCATAGTTTCCCTTCTAGTGACTCTAAATGCCTACCTTGTGAACTTACCTAATTTCTGTATTTGCTTGTATAGACTGTAGACTGTGTAATTGCTACAGTAAATGATTATTTGAAAGCATCTCACCCCATATGATTAATGATTATGAATCTCTTTTAAAATGTGAATATGAATACACAAGAATACAGAGCTGTGGAAAAATTCATGCATAAGTAACAATATATTCAGCTGAAAATACTCCCCATAATAGCCTGGTGTCAAATTGAAATTTCACATCTTTCTGTTGAATTCAGCAGCTTGTGGTACTTGATCCTCATGCCTTGGGTGAATTCTTGAGTCATTTATTTTAGTAAAAATTGTATATTATTAAGGAAATTGAAAAAAAGTCTCATTAGTGTATTCATTTAGTTAAGAATCAGATCGCATATTTTATTTACTGAAACCCACCTGCACTTATTCTACCAGGAACATATTTGGTCTGCGGCCTGTGGATTACGCAGACAGTGAAGACGTGAAATCGCTGTTGCTGCTGCCAGAGAAGAATGCGTCATCTTCAGTTAGCCACTGCTCAGCAGTGAGTATGGATTTAGCTTTGGGAAATTTATGTATTTGATTGAAATTGGTTACAAAATGAACATAATGGAAAAATTTCCAGTTAACAAATTGCTTTCATTCACCAGTTACTGAGCGCTTCCTTTGCATTAGCTGTTGTGAATTCAAAGACATAATCAGAATAAGTGAACAGGTGTTTAGTGACCTGCCCTCTCTATATTTTAGGCAGCATTTATACAGCAATAAATATGACTGCTAGAACTCTTATTCTCAAGAAGCTTACATTCTTGTGAGAGAAAACAGACTGTGAATATGTAAAGTAGTATAAATAAAACAATTTCAGAAACTTAGAAATGGGTGCCTAATAAGATTTTCTAGAGCATAATAGGGTAGAGGCTGCGGGCTCCAGAAAGGCGCTGTTGTGGCTGAGTCGTTGAGGAGAGCCTTTAAAAAAGTGATACTGATCTGGAACTGGAGTGATGATGCAGAGGCATCTGGTGAATTCCTGGAGGACACGTGTCCAGGCAGAGGGGACAGCAAGCATGTAGGCCCCTCAGTGGATGAGCCTGGTGTGTCTGAAGGCTAGAGAGCAGGACATCAGTGCTGGTGATCAGGGATTGTCTAAGAGTAACGAGAAACCACTGAAAGGATTTAAAGGAAGGGATGGTATGATTTGATTTATACTTCAGAAAGTTCTCTCTGGCTGCTTTCTAGTAAAGAGACGTGGGGTGGTGACAGGAGTAGGGGCAGTGAGATCACTTAGGACTGTTTGTTTGTGAGAGGAGAGAGATACCATGTTGACCTGGGTTAAGGTAATAGCAGTGGAGGTTATGAGAAATAATGAGCATTAGTATATATTATTGAGTTAATGCCAACCAAATTTTTGAATAGATTATATTTGAACTGTGGAGAAAGGGTAGAATTAATACAACTTTAGCAGTGGAATAGATGGTTGTGCTATTTGCTGCGTTGTGGAAAGTGTTTGTTCCTTAGGAACCTATAGTTCAGTGGGGAATGTGGTTTTAAAAATATTATTGCAAACTGTGTCAAAAATGAACAGTAGAATTGTAAGGGAGAAGCTGGCCTCGGACGGGCTCAGAAGAGTCTCACAGAGAAGGTGACAGTACGGTATCTGATAGAGTGCTGTTGGTGGCAAGTAACAGAAAACGTTCACTCAAATGCTTAAAGACAGTATATTATCTTATATATAAAGATAATCCCATATATATGATCTCTTAATTCGATTACTTTAGCAGTTACGTGGCTGCACCAAAGACCCAAATTTCTTTCTGTTGTTCTGCTTTGCCATCCTCAGCATGGTGGCTTTGTCCTCACTAATCTCCCTCCTAGTGGTTGCAGGATGATTGCCACAGTTCCAGATCTGGCAGTGTCCCATGATGGAAGGACTAAAACCTATCCCAGAAGCCTTCCAGTGGACTTCTTGTGTCTTATTGGTCAGAACTGGTCACACTGTTTTGACGTACATCATGGTTGAAGATAGGGTCAGCCCTTGGATATCTGAATGAAATGAAGATTGTATTAGTGTGGAGGGAGTGAGGAATGGATTTTGATTGCCCACTGCAATCAGGTATACAAAGCGGGGTTGGCGGTCCAAATCTAAGGAACAGCTGCTCAGAGACAAGGAGGCATAAAGGACCTTAGAAATTTGAGAAACTATAGAGTTGAGTGTGAGAGGAGCAGGAGCAGGAGATGGCTTGAAGAGGAACTGAAGGTAAAGAGATGGGTTGGGATCAGATTGTGAAAGACTTTGAGTTCCTTGTGGAGGAGTTGAGACTTTATCTCCTCAGTTAGTGGGCTCCCCACAGAGTATCTCTAAGTGGAATGGGACTCTGCAGGGCATGGTTGGGGCCAGGACTGAGGACTGGTTAGGAGGCTATTGTAGTGGAATCCAGGTGTGAAATGGTGAGGACTGGAGCTGCGGGTTTGGGTTGGGGTGGGGTGGATGGAGAGAAGACGGAGGGGTTTGAGAGAGAGGGATGGTGGACTCACTGTCTAACTAAGCAACTGCTCAGGTTGGGGAAAGTGAGAAAAAAGGATGAGTTGAGATCTAGGACCGTTCAAAGAAGACTTCTTCCCTAGAAAGGGCAATGGAATAGTGATTAATGCTGTTGTTAATGATAAGAAGGTAACCTAAGGTATTTACAGTTTGAGGTGGTCATAGGTGCTGTCAGGGCTAGTTACCCTTATATTTTGAAAACTCTTCATAGACTTAATCCTTCTAAATGTGTCCCAAACTATAGTTTTTGGTGGTGAACTGGAAGAGACAACCTAAAAAGCAGCAGTTTCATTTCCTCATTTTACAAATGAGAAAGCTGAGACATGGTGTGATTGTCCTGGGGTTAACTAGCCATTTAAAAAAATTTTTTTTTCAACGGATCAGTTAGAACTCAGATTTCTTAAATCTTAGGTCAGTATGCATTCAGTCCCACCGTACTTAGTTATAAATTGGCACTTATTTATTCATTTGGACTTGAACTTTCCTTGGAGGATGTAACATAACTAAGTTGTTTGCCAATTTTTTTAATGTAAAAGTTGGAAAGGATTATTTTAGATGTATCAAAAATAAAGATATCTTTATGGTATTATTGGAATCTGAGAGTGGCAGTGCCTTGCAGAGGAGAGGAAAGTGAATATCCTCTTAATTCAACCAGTTACTACTGTGTTTTTATTAAACATGTCACATGGACGTGGCCTGTGAATATCATTATTTACTATCTTACTGGTGGATGCTTGGCTAAGGAAAAGATAATGATAACAAGTCCTTAAGTTGAAAGTGTTGTTTCTCTGTGTGCACTCGTTACCGTCAAAGCTCTGGGACCTGCTTCTCTGACCACTACCGAACTCCTTTTCACTCATTCTCTTTCAGCCTCATAGGCTGCTTTGCTGTTTCTTCAGTCCCCCAGACATGCTCACATTTCCAGTCCTTAGCATCAGCTGTTTTCTCCACCAGGAACAAATGTCAGGAGCCAGGTGTCCACACGGTGTGCTCCCCCTCCCTTCAGCTCCACCTCCAGTGCAGCCCTATCAGAGGGGTCCCAGTGCTTACCTCACTTTGTTTCATACTGTTTACCATCTGACCTAATGGATTTTTATTTTATTGATTTTTTTTTTCTCTCCCAACTAGATTATAAGCTGTGTGAGGGCAGGGACTTGCCTCTCTTGTTTACTGTAGTAGCTCCAGCGCTGAGAACAGTGTCTGGCAAATAGTGAGTGCTTATTAAGTGTGTGTTGACAGCATAATTAGTACTGGAGGGCCCTTCCTGATACATGCTGGCCCCGAAACCAGCACGGGGGCTTGGGAGCTGAGTCTGAAATTCTTCAAATTAGTGATTTCCAAGCTGCTTCAGGGAAAGCATCATGAAGAAGGGAAGGCTGATAAGTGGATGGAGTTTGAATTCCTCTACTTCCCATTTAGAAAGATTTTGTTGTTTATTTTGTTTTGTTTCAAGTAAAGTTTATTGGCTGTTGGAAAGCAGTATGTTAAATTTCTAAGCAGTTTCTAAGCTTAAAGACTTAAAAAGCTGCTTGCCATGTTCATTTTGTGACTTTCCTGCTCATGATTCCTTCGAGCAGCATGTTTATCCTTTTTATTCTTTCTGTAGTTTTTAAACCCTGTTTTTTGACAAACTTATTAATTTTGATAAAGTCAGAATAACTGCTTTTTCTAAGAAAAAGTTTCATATCTAAATATTCCTTAAGTAAGAGTTTATTGGGGAGGGGAGGGTATATAGCTCAAACAGTAGAGCACATGTTTAGCATGCATGAGGGCCTGGGTTCAATCCCCAGTACCCCTTCTGAAAATAAATAAACAAACAAACAAATAAGTAAATAAATAATCCTAATTACCTCCCCTGCCAAAAAAAAAAGTTTGTTTCATGCCAATGTACATAGTATCTAATCTCTATAAAATCAGCGTATTGAACTGTGGAGTGTTTTCTGAGCATCTTTTGAACCTACTGGTTTTGAGACCTCTGCTTATTCAAATCAGATGCCTCCCCACTCCCACCCCAAATCAGACATATGGCTTTGGCAGCTGTCTGCTTTATTTTATTTATCTTTTTAAATAGCTTTTTTTTTTAACTATGAGAAATTAGTGCCAGTTTCTATTTTTTATTCAAATTTAAAAACTAGATAGGAAAATACTTGACCCACTTCGGTGCTTTCCTGAAGTTGGTGGAAATAGTATCATACACTATGTTTATATTTAGAATTGATATCTTTTCATTCTTTGTTTTGTGCAGAGAACTAATTTAGCCCAAGTGGAGTTCTATAAATCGAAAAGCAATGTGTTCCATTTAGAGCTATTTTTATGGCACTTATTTATATAACTGACAAGAATATTTGAAATACTCCTTTTAAATATCATTGAATAGTAATTGAATGATTGATGAAGTAGTCTGAGCTATTTTCATGTTACAGAGTGTTTACAGTGTTTAGGTTAGATATGTTTACCTCATCTTATAATTTAGTGAATAGGGAAGATAAGTAGACAGAAATACGATGTGCATAGCATGTCCAATAAAACCTATGCGGCTTGAACCTTAGGGAAGTAAGTAATTCAGGAAGCTGAGCTTTTAAGTGCTAAATATTGCCATTTAAACTTTACCTTTTGAAAAAGTATCTTGAATACATACTTGCTGAATACACAGTAGAATCTTATTTAATGTATTTTGAGTGAATGAATTATTGAGATCAGTCTGTTTATGGATTTAGCCACAATTTACATGTAATATTGTAGGGCATCAGACTGGATAAATTAAATTATCGCTACTCAGATATATGAAGTGAATATTCAAATATCAATTTTCTCCAGTCTAGTTGCTGAATTATATTGGTGATTATACCTACAGTGTTTCACTCATTCTCTTTGGAGCTTTTGAGAGCCCAGATGTCCAGAATACACGTATGCTCATATGTGTAGGTGGGCCCTATGTGTTGTATTTGAAAATTAAAGTATTGTTTTTGGCTTTTTATCTTGTAATACAGCAGTGCTGATGTACCTTTTCTTCCTTATCTACTGGCTCATTGCTTTTCTTTTATCAGGTAGCTTTTGGCTCTCATTCCAATTCCACTTATTAAATTTCTGTTCGCTGCTATTGAAAACACTATCCCATTGTTTCTTTGAATCTTTCACTTCTAATATTTAATGGTATCCATTGGTGCCTTCTTTTTATTCTTGTCTTTTTTGTCTCCTGTAAGTTCTAAGTCTTTCTATTAAAGTGAAAATGTTAGTCTTTGTTAGAGCGCTTTTCTTTTCATAAGCTGCATTAACTTGTTGCTGTTGGTGGATCTGATCTAACTTTGGTATTCCCTTGTCTGCTTTCATTTTCTTGGTTTCTAGAGGTAACTATGTTAAAAAATTGTTTTCTGTCTTTGAAATCAGTGCTGTTCTATAAGCCTTAGTGTTCTTTAATTTTTTACATAATCTCAGTTTAAATTAAACAGACCAAGTTGAGTTTAACTCTATTGGAATAAGTTAGTTGGAAGGGAGTAGAGAATTGATCATTTTGAGTGGATATTTTGGGTTCTTTTATTTATTTATTTATTTTTTAAAAAGGGCTTACTGGTGACAGAATGAAGTTGTAAAATCCTAAAGAGACCCAATTTAGAATCAAGGAAACAAGATACCATGGGTATAGAGAGCTATCCCAAGTAGAGTGTTTTTAGGGGGTAGGGAGGGTAGGTGGGTAAAGAAATAGAAAAACAATTGTTCAAATGCATTGAGCCTTAAGTTTCTGAGTGGTGATTCAATGGAAAATTTTGGGAATTGCTAGATAAAGTAAGCTAAGAAATGAAATCAAGCTTGTATCAAGTGAAAGTCAGTTTCATATCTTTCTCTAGTCTTCAAATGTTTTTTAATAATGTGGCATCTCTTCTTTCATTAACAGATAAACACTGGTCAGCGTAGGGATGGACCCCTTGTACTTATAGGCAGTGGGCTTTCTTCAGAACAACAGAAAATGCTCAACGAGCTTACAGCAATTCTAAAGGCTAAAAAATGTGCTGAGTTTGATAGTACAGGTGAGGATTATTTATTTATTTTTGATAGAAGACATTTTTAAAGACATAATTCCATTGTAGAACCCCCTTCGATAATGCATGTTTTAACCAGTGGGATATGACCATATATGTTGAATCTAATAATAATTCTAAAGTGTTTTCACAGTTATAAACTACTTATAGTTTTTATTTAGTTAGGAAATACAAAGCTTAAAGCTTTGCAGCTATTTTAGGACAGAATAATATGTCAGAGGAGCAATTTTATGAGTTTGCTAGTGACAGATAAATTACAGTAATGCTTTAATTTCTAAGTTATAATTTGAAACATAAAAGAAAAATTTGTGTTGGCTAATGTGGCTTTAAGGTACATGGTTTATGATTGGATTTTTTTCATGTTGCTGGCAAGAATAGAGAATGAAACTAAATAAAAGAAGTCTTATACCTAAGTATAAGAATTGTTGCTTTTGAAGAAGAGTCAGGTGTACATTTATAAAGTGTAGACTTGACTGGTTATAAAAGGCAGACCAGTTAAATCTTTTGGTTTATATCTCTGTTTCTCTTACTGCTTTTTTTGTATTCTAGTAACTCATGTCATTGTTCCTGGTGATACAGTTCAAAGCACCCTGAAGTGTATGCTTGGGATTCTCAGTGGATGCTGGATCCTAAAATTTGAATGTAAGTATTAGATTCGGGAGAATTACAAAAGGAGTTAAGTAGATGAATTTCATTTTTATAGTGCACTACTGCCAATAATTATTTAGGGAACTTATGCTAATTTTTTAACCTCTGGTTAGTCACTGCATTTTGAAAAAGCTCATATTAATGAAATCATTTAGATGTTTTTAGTAAATATGCACAAGTATGTTGTGGTTTCAAAATCTTTTGTTCTACAATACCAACTAATTTAATAAAGAGTATATGGATTATATAATAGACTTGTAAGCTTAAGCAATCTGTGTCACTGTTACATGATACATTTAACTTAATAAATGCATATTTTATTTTATTTATTTATTTTTTATTGAAGTGCCGTCAGTTAGTGTGTGTCAGTTTCCGGTGTGCAGCACAATGTCCCAGTCAATAAATACATGTTTTAAATATACAACTGTGAAATGAAAGTAGTTCATTGCTTTCCCTTTATGTTCTAAAACTTACCAGTATAACACTCTTTTACTCTCTTAGCTAATACAGTGTATTTTAGGAAGCTGTTTGGAAATTTAGACTTCCTTGTACTACCTGGTTTGGGGCAATTACTTCGGCTGTTTTATAAACCTCTGATGAAAAGTTATCCCTGTTACCCGCTTCTTGTTTGTAGTCAAGCACCACCAGCTTTGGGGCTGCCTCTCACCTTCCCAACTCTCACTTGTTTGTTTTTCTTAACCTTGGTTTCACCTCATATTTAAAATAAAAAGAAAGCTCATACAGGATTATTTTCTACAATTATTCACTGAAATATCTATTTTTGATATGATGGCTAAAATATAGGACAATAAAATGACCTTTTTTGCTAACTGTTTATAAAAGAATAGTGGCTGTAAAGGGGGTACACAGGGTTATGTTACAGCTGAGTATCTTGATCCCAGTGGTAGTTAATGCTAAACAAGTCTGCATATGTGATTGAATGTCATAGATCTACACCCGTGTACACAAATGAGTGCGTGTATAACTGGTGAAATCTGAAACAGTTCTCTGGATTGTATCAGTATCAGATTCTTGGTTTTGATATTGTCCTGTTGTTGTGTAAGATGGTAATATTGTACACTAGAAGGATGGGTATATAGGACCTCCCTGTACATTTCTTTGTGACCTGCGAATCTATAATTATTTCAGATTAAAAAGTAAAAAAAAATAGTATTTTTTAAGTGTGTTTTCATGTAAGTATAGACTGTTTTCTTTTAGAAACTAAGTTTTATTTATTTATTTATTTATTTATTTATTTATTTATTTATTTATTTATTTATTTAAGATTGAACCTAGGATCTCCCGCATGCTAAGCATTCACTCTACCACTGACCTACACCCACCCCCCTGAATAGTGAATATTTTTAATAAAACTTTCTTTTTAAGAAGAAAATGATGTATTAGAATTAGTTTTTTTTTTTTTTTAACTTTGTTTTATAGCTTTGTGCTTTGAAGGGTTTATGGTAGAAACACTTGATTTAATCAAAATCTTACTCATTTAACACGTTGATCGCCACATCACCCAAATCTGGGTGACAGTTTTGTTTCCTCAGTGGGCTATCAACATATGAATCTATTGTTTGAAATTAACTTGGTTCATGAAAAGTTTCTTTTTAGCGATTGATACCCATCCCTTTAAAATGCAGCTGCCACTTTTCTTGTGATGCTAGTCTGCACTGATTTGGTCTGATCCCGCGATGGCTGACAATGCCGCTGTCTGTATCTGGTCTCATCAGTATCTGTTATTAGACTCTGCCAGTCATGACCAGTTTAAGAAGCACTATAAGCAATTGGACTGATTGGCCATTTACATAGAGAAAAAGTTTCTCTTTATGTCTCACTTTTCTTTTTAAACCTTCATTTTTGGCAAATCTGTGGCGAATCTTATTAGGCCTCAGTATTTTAAAAATTGACTTAAAATGGTTCCTTGATTATAGATGTTTTTATATTGAAATTGTGCCAGAAACTTTGCCAGTGGTTATAGGAAGGAATAGATTTTCATAATAATAATGTCTCAGTAATAAAGAAGCCATGTGAAATTTTGAATAAGGCATTTACCACTTACCCTTTAAGTCTAGTTCTTGTGAATTTGCTGAACTTGCATCTGGTTACACATACAGACTACGTGATTCATTTCCATATAATCTGCCTTCTTTAAGAAATGGAAGTTTTGTCACTTTAATGGCTTGGCCATGTCATTTTTATAGAATCACTGATGGACTCAAGCTGACTTAATAGTGTGCTATTTGGTGATTCTCACAGTAGTGAATAGCATACTCTAATATCAGTGGTTCCTTAAGGATGAAAGATGGATGGAATCTCTTATTGAAGTTCATATCCTCATACTTTGTGATACAAATTCCAAAAAGAAATAGGTTCAGGGTTTTGAGACAATTACTTTAAATAGCCACTGGGTTTATAAAAAGAGAGCAAGAACCCTCACTTTCTATCCTAATATATTTTTCTGTGGTGTCTATGTTTTTCTTAATGTCAGACAACTTAGTGTGATTTAAACAAAAAGTGCAGAGCTATTCAAAACTAGTTGAAAACCATCTATAAAATGTCCACTAGCTTGCCTGGTAGACAGAACCTGGATGAACTATATAGAAAGTTCAGTGTTAACTTCTTACAGTGTCTTTCACAAACAAGGTACATTAAAGAGGAAATTTTACCTAAACTTTCTTTGTAGAGAATTGGCATATTTAAAAAAATTAAACAAATTTAAACAAATTAACAAAAAGAGTTATTTAAAACAATTTGGATCCATTGGATCCAGATTTGGCTATTGGAAGTTTTCTGTTGAAACATGTACTGTCTTAATTGGTTACTATCTCTTATTTTTCTACATTATATATATATAAAGCATCTTACAGTGTCATAGTTAATGAACTTGGTGTGAACATCCTGATTATTACTATTGTACCAGCCATCCTGTCTCATCGTATTTATTTTACAGGTATCTTATAGAATGGTATTTATTTTACAGAAATAGGCGATATAGATAGGAAAGTTCCTTCTTCAAGATTAAGTTGGTGCCTGAGATTCTGCCTTAGTCCTTGTTTTGGTGCTAATTCCTTACAGGCAACTAATAACCATCCCTGTGCAGAGTGAATTTTGGTAATTAAGAGGTGACTAGAATGACAAGTAGAAGATATATAAATAAGCCATTTTATTCATTTCTTAGAGTATGCAAAAACTGAGCCTGCATCCTAAAGATGTAAACTAACCTTAAAGATGAAATATCTTTTACGGACCTGTTCTTTCAGTACGCTGCTTTCAAAATTTCCTCTAGTCCAACCTTTTTAAAAAAACTTTAATTCTGCCTCTTCATTTTTCGTCTCATTGTGAAGGGGAGAGCAGATGGCTGTCATCTTTTCTTTCATAATCTCTTCCTCTTCCCCACTCACATCTGAGTTTAAATAAAATTGCTGCTATAGAAGTTATGAAAGTCCTTAGCACCTAAGGGAATTGCTGTGGGAATGTGCCAGACATTTTACGCTGGTCTTGTGTCTGTACGCGGGAGAGGAAGGGCCAGATAGGGTGTTTCTTTGAAGGCCCTCATTATATCATCATTTTAAAAATAACTTCATAATTAGATTAGTAACCTTAGAGTTTTCTATTAAAATTTATTTCTTCAAATGGATATTGAGAGTGCTGTAGAATTTTGAAAATAAAGGTAATTTTTATTCTATTCAGATTTTGTTAATTATCAAAAAATAAATATACCAAAGCATTTTTATTCACTAGGGTTGATTAGGCAACTTCATGCTTACAAAAATCTTTTACCGAAGATGGTCTAGGAATAAAAAGTAAATATCCTTTGATATAATAGTGCTACTTCTGAGAATATACCCACATATACACAAGTAATGCAGAAAGAAAAAAAAAAACTATTTGCATTGTTATTTCTAATTGCAAGATGGGGAATAACCTGAATATGAAAGAAGTAAGAAAATTCTGAAATGCTTAAAGATGTTTTCTTAAAGAGAATTATGTTTTTAAGTGATAATTATTAGGACTGAAATATGAAAAAACAAATGTTTAAATTTTTAAAAAAGCATAAAACAATTATATCTTCACTTTCAATAGCATAAATGTGTGAATATGTACAGGCAAAGAAATAATCAAAGCGGTAGATTGGTAGGTGGAGGCCTGTTTATTTATAAAGTTTTAAAAACAATGTAGTAAATGAAATTCAAGTTCTTTAGAAGAAATTTAAACTCTCAAGTTCTAATAACAATTAGATCTTCTTTCTGGACTTTTCCAAAAATTAATTGGGTAGGTAAGAGTTTTGGTCTTAATCAGGGAAATAGAACCTGTGTGTGTATATTGCTCCAGTCTGATTCACCAGATTCATACCTGTTATGCAGATCTAGCAGATACATTTTAATATGTTTATTGTTCAATAAAGTATGGAAATCTTACATAAATATTTGAATTTTAAATATATGACTCAAAAAGAACACCAAGTATGAGTTTTTAATTAAAGAGGATTATTTTGATAATTATTCATAATGCAAAGTTCTAGAATTGATACCCAAATTTTGCCTTAGCAAATTTTATGATGTAGTAATATATTTTTGTAATAGAATTTGACCTGCTTCTCAATATGCATCAAGTAAAATAAATAAGTTTAGTATACTATTCTATAGGAAATATGTTTTTATGTATAAATATGCTTTTAATTAAAATATTGGTTTAAAAAATAGCCAGAAATAAACAGTTGTTCAGTGGTATTTGTATGGACACACAAAGTCCAATGATCTGTAACAGCTGATATCCTAAATGCAAATGTTTATGATGGCATGACAGGAGCATCTGGCTTTTGTTTTACATTTTCGGCCTTCATTGTATTGTCCTTTCACTCTTCACTGTGGAATTTCATATTGGGCTTAGTTCTTGTTTTACTTGCCATCCAGTTTTTTAAAAATGACAGAGTAAAAGTTGTTTTTCCATTTTTGTCATTGTTGTAGAAAGTTACCTCTTAAAATGATTTCCTTTTGTCTACAGTTTAGTGATACTATAGCCTATTTGACTAAAAAGCTGAATAGAAAAGCATTTTAAAAAAATCTTGTTTTTATAACTTGAGTGTTTATTTTTAATAGAATCAGAAGGGAAATTCTTTGATGTTTATTTTAATAATATGCAGTTTTCTTGACATCTTTAAGTGCTTAGTTTGGATCTAATGACATATTTATTAAGATTTTTTATTTTGACATGAAATGTTTGATTCAGTATTTTAATTTTTTTTATAGGATATTTAGTGTTGACTGAGGGTGATATTTAATTCTGATTTTCAGTGCTATTTTAGTTACAAATAGCCAGTAGTTCTAGAAGAATAATAGCTGTTTAAAATAAGAATGTACTTATTACTCTAGCTTTTGAAGAAAATGCACACATTCTGTGGTCTTCATGGGGGAATAATTCCCTATTTGGACATTTGGACTTTGGAGCATTTAACAGATCTTGATTTTGAAGCTTTATTCTGTCTTCATTGTATCCTATAATCATTTGTATGTAGCTGTGGATTCTGGACCCTTCCTATTTGTATAATCCTTTTTTTACCTTCTAAAACTAGGAAAAGTGACTAACCTTAATATAGATTAATGAACACCATCAGTGGTTTACGCAGCTAAAATGAAAATATACATCCATGGATATATGTACTTTTATGAGGTAGGAAGCAAGAGTGGTTACTAGAGATTTCGAATAAAGGAATACATTTCTGAATGATACAAGCCTCTTTTAAAAAAAAAATTGTATCCCAGAATTCATAAGCTGCAGTAGTGTGCAGATTCCAGGCTTTGCTTAGATGACCAGAGCTACCTTAATGACTTTGAGCTAACGACTTGGAGTTAAGCAGTACTTTGGGAATTGGCTGCTTGCTTCTGTATAAGAAAGTAATAAAATCAGGGCAAAAGGAAAGCTAGCTTGAAATGGTAGACATGATCAGGAGTAATCTGAGCTGAAAAGAATCTCTTAGTTTTAATAAGGTAGGTAGTTCATTTCTATATTTCTGCAAAATGATAGCTTTAGTCAAAATCTTAAAATATAAAACATGTAAAAAGTAAGAAAGTTGGTACTAAACATACATTTTACAAGGATTGTCACTTGACATATTTTAAAGTATGTGTTATTCTAGCATATGCAGAGACCTGTGTTTACATAAATAATACAACTTATTCATGTTGGTCATTTCAGCTTAAATATTACTAGCTGAGGAAGCTAACTAGTGGTCTTGCATATGCTGCTTATCTCTTCACAAGAATCCGTCTCTGCTGAACTATTTTCTTTTTGGCAGATGATGGAATAGTAATAATATGGACTTAATATTAAGTACAAATTAAAAATATAATTTGGCCAAGTTTTAAGAAGTGTCTTTAAATTGGTGGGAAATGGCCTGTTTTAACCTCTTTATAGAGTGTAAGGATTACAGTATGTATTGTACTTCAGATGAGTTTATGACTAGCAGTGTTATGAAAGTTCTGATAAATTAATATGGAAAATAGATTTAATAGTTCCCGATGTAGTTTGCCTAGCTAGCTAATGTTGAATAATTAAACCCTTAAAATATTATCTATTTTTTAGGTTTGTTAATTAGTTAATAATTTGGCTGGTATATTCTTTCATTGCATCGATGAAGATATGTCACCATTTAAGTTGCTCAAAGTTTAAAGTATTTCATTCTTTTTTTGTTATAGTAAATCAGTTCAATTGATTTATCTCAAAAGAAGTTTACTAGGAAGTTTACTAGAAAGTTGATGTGAATTTGTAATTATCGTCAATGTCTAATGAGAAGTATGAACATTCTGAAACTCGTAGGGTACAAATTAGAGAGTGGCAACTTTGGCATCAGTCAGATTAAACAAACTCAGTGATTACTGAAGACAAATCCAAATGCCTTGCTCCCTGCCCTAGGCAGTCAGCAGTTTTTGCTGTTTTTGGTATACTTTTTTGGCTGATCTCTTAAAAATAAGGGTCCTCTTATTTAGTTATCTATTAAGTGGTTATGAGATGTATTGTAAAAGAGATACAATATATTAAACCTGAGTAGAGAGTACCTGGCATTTCCTAAGATGCTCTATTTTTTAATAAAATAAAGATTTTAAAAAATCTGATCTAAGGAGTTGGAAGATACCCGAGTTCTCATCTCACTAGTGTCACTGGGAGAACTGCTTAAATCCTTAGGATTTAAGTTTTCTTATCTATGAAATGAAGAGGTTGATTAGACAGAGCATCAGGAGTTTCAAACTGGCAATCTAAGGGCCAAAAGAGATATAATTTATGTGGTTTAGTTCAGCATAACCTTTGTTTTTTGTGTCTTCAGGTATGATGTGCATTTTCGTATTTGTTAAAGTCTCCATAACTCTCTACCACTTAACTTAAGGTTCCTCATGTAATCTGTATGTAATCTGAATGGCCCTGGTAAGCATTCGAGTTACAATCTTTGGACTAGATGTCATGCCCAACTTTAAAAAAATTCTCCATGTTGTGTTTGCTATGACAGCAATTCTAACATGTTCTAGACCTGCAAACTGTTCCTTAGTTTTTGGCAGGGCGGTGCTGTATTTTCCTTCTTTAGTTGATATTAGGTAGCAGAGAGAGTTGGCAAATTGTTACTTGGAATAAGAGAATATCAGAGGACTGCGTTCTTCATTCAGCTCAGGAAATTGTCATTAGAGCACTGGATTTTTCTTCCAGCCTTTGCAGAAGTTTACTGAACAAGTGTATAAAGCTGAAAGGTGTACGACTTGGGGGCATATTTACACTATAGGAGCATTGGCATCTTCCCCTGGAGGCACCATGCTGCCCTCTTGGTGCCTGCTGTCTCATTTCTCTCCATGTCATGCTTATCTCATTCTAGTATCTTTTAAGGCCACATTCTGTTGATTGACTAATGCCAGCACATTGCCAGGACCAATAAATACCATTTTAGTATGCTTTTTTTTTTTTAATGGTTTAAATAACCAACTAACTCCATAAAATGGATAAGCAGCCAGCATAGGCACAGCTCATTTATTTATTTCTGTAATTAGACGTTAGCTGTTTACTTGTTACAGTAGATATCATAGGAGTATTCAGTGTTCAGTCCTTGGCTTGTATGCTGGTATATACATTCATCTAAAGATAGAGGTATAAATGGTCTGCAGATATCTTCAGGAAAGGAGATTTAGAAAGGAGCTACGTGCTGAAGTGGTAAAAAGTGAAAGTAATAATTTATATGTAAAATAATGAATGAGGTAAGTCAATGATTTGGCTAGACTGCTAATGTTTTTTGCATTGGTGTTTAACAGAGAACCAGTATATGATGTAATAATGCAAGCACACTGTCAGTGTTTTCCTGTATGATTTTGACATTTGGTCAGAAATTTTTATTTTGAGATGCATTTTGAATATACAGTAAATTAATATTTTAGTATTAACTTCATTAGAAAGATAATCTTACCTAGTGAGTTGTTATTAAAACATATTTTAAAAATATAATTTTTAATGAACATTAAAAAACAACTTTTATGAAACCATCATATTTCTGATTGGTTAGTGAGAACAGGATTCAGCATAGCAAACGTGGCTAAATGTGATCCTTGTATTAAAAATAGTAGGGGGAAGGGACACCAAAACACAGAAAATTAGGAATTACATGATAGGTTATTATAGATATGCCAAGGTTTAGTGTTAAATTGGAATATGCATTAATAGTCCCAAGTTAAGAAAAATTGTCTCTTGACAAAGCTCTGCTTTTGGAGAGATGGAGTATTCAGTCGTTAAAACATTCCAACTTTTATATATTAAGCAGCATCTTGGAACATCTTAATTGAAGCAGCTCTAAAGCATTGAAAATATTGAGACCAAGTCATCTCTAGACTGGTGACTTCAGTGTGGACCTGTCAAATCCCAAACATGGCCCAGATCTGCCTACTATTTATTTTAACAAGTGCTGTAGTGCCCTTTTTATGTGGCCAGCTTAGCGAAGTGCTCTGGACTCGAGTAGTTTGTTTAATGTCAGATCACTTTTAGTCTAACAGGAGGTTGGACATAGGATTACTAGAATGAGAGTGTGGATGACAAGCCCGCAGGGTCACATCATAGTGGGCTGAACTAAATGAGGGACTTTTTATTCACCTTAATTTTGATAATAGCTATTAAGAAAAATTTAGATTTTTATTCTTGTACGTGAAATAGTGTGTTGATTTAGAAGAGAAACTAAATTAGTGTTCAGTATTACTTCATTGCTCAATCCTTTCATTTCTTTATGTGGAAAACCAGTTTTATTACATTTTGTTTTGGCACAGGTAAGGTTTCTATTTCAGAATAATATTTAACCATGAAGAAAAATCACTTAGGTAAAGTGCTTAATTTCAGTGTGAAAGAAATAATGCTTGCTTGATATTTACTTTGCTTTTTTCATTGTTTTTGTTTTTTTGCCAGGGGTGAAAGTGTGTCTACAAAGAAAAGAGTGGGAACAGGAAGAAAAGTATGAAATTCCTGAAGGACCACAGAGAAGCAGGCTCAACAGAGAACAGCTGGTATTTTCCTTTTGATACTACTTTCAGTGTTCTTATTGTAACTTAATATCATTATTACCGTCAGGAAAAACTTCTGCTCTTTCAACAAGTACAGGTGACTGATTAAAATTTTAATTGTGTTTAGTTCAAGCACTTGATTCTGAGAGATAATCACGATGAGCAGTAAAATCCAGAAGGTAATAATTTCATACTCTTAATGGATTTTTGGCATCTTGAACATTCCCATAAACCTTTCAGAATCTGAGATAAGTCTCATATACAGGAAGGAGCTTGAAAGAGGACTTACAGCTGCTGCTTGGATTTAGTTAACCATGTCTTTATTGCCACATATTACAGTTTTAATGGATAATATTCCATTATCCTGTTGACAGATAAGTATATTAGAAATGTCAAAAATTTTTGTAGAAGGGAATTGTGGAACTTTTCCTGTAAAGCACACAGAAGTGTGTTTCATAGCTAATTGGATCCCTAGCCATGGCTTTATAGTGTACTGTGTTCCGAGGAATACATCTGTAGAACCCTGGAGGCCACACTCCCACGTCGCTGCCCTGGAGACTTTAGGTTGGTAATATTTAGGATCCTGAATATGGATGGGCACAATTGGGAAGTTCCATGGAAAAGATGTTACTCTTACAGTTAAGTTGAGCTTAATTAGTACCCTGAAGTGTATTTCAGATACCCTAGGAAGGAATTTTTGGAGCTTTAAGTCCCACCAAATATGAATTAACATTCTGATAAAAGATTGATAAACAGGTTGTGTGTGTGTGTGTGTATGTGTGTACACATAGCACACCTAAAATGTGAGAAGAGTGAAAAGGATCAGAGTCTTAGGAAAAAAATTGTAAATAGGAAACCTTTATTTTCATAAGTATTTTTCTTGACCCAATTAGTTTACTTGAAATACAAGTTGTCCCAGAACCTCATTAAGTAGCTTTTTTTTAATATATTTTTATTGAAGTATAGTCAGTTTACAACGTTGTGTCAATTTCTGGTGTGGAACATAATGCTTCTGTCATATGTCAACATACGTATATTCATTTTCATATTAAGTAGTTTTGTAACTGCTCACGACTATTATTTTTATTTATCATTCATATGCAGTGTTTTAAAATATTCTGATCTGCTTTTAACGAGCTTTTTCTCATTATTTCAGTTACCAAAGTTGTTTGATGGATGCTACTTCTATTTTGGTGGAACCTTCAAACACCATCCAAAGGACAACCTTACTAAGCTGGTCGCTGCAGCTGGGGGCCAGATCCTCAGCAGAAAGCCCAAGCCGGACAGTGACGTGACCCAGAGCATCAGCACAGTCGCGTACCATGCCAGACCTGATTCTGACCAGCGCTTCTGCACACAGTATATCATCTATGAAGATTTGTCTAATCATCGCCCAGAGAGAGTTCGGCAGGGCAAAGTCTGGATGGCTTCTTCCAGCTGGTTTATAGATTGTGTGATGTCCTTTGAGTTGCTCCCTCTTGACAGTTGAATACTACACCAGATGAACATTTCAGATTGAACGTGCACAGTGTGAGAACCCAGTGATTGCACTGTTTTGATCACATTTTTACAGATAGGTAGACTCATTCATATACTGTTTTTCCTTGAATTTAGAAAAAGAAAATTGTACTCCGGAGTAGGAATTCCTTCTGTTTACCAGTTAGATGCCAAGATTTGCGTTAAAGTCTTTTCTTTTTTAAATTGGCGTATGTACTGATTCATCATGTCTTTCTATTCACATAATTAGCTATCAAAGATTAATGAGAGGGTATCAGAACTTTGGTTCAATATACGAGTGGTATCATTATGTCTCAGCCTTTTAATATTTGATGAAAAAAATCCACACCTGCCATCAGCAGAAATACTTGCCTTACTTTAGTAAGCAAATAATATTGTCAGATAATTTATTCTGACTTTATTATAATGAGAATAAGGTACCTGGTCTAAATGTGCCACCATAGGTGTTAAACTCTTTGCCTGTCTACGCTTGTGTTTATATAGCTACTTACAATTTACTTGGATATCTGTTCCTATATTTTTAGCCTCATTTTTAAAAAACTCTTATCTGTTAACCAGGAAATCATGATTTGAATCTTAACATTATTGTTCTTTGGTGGTAAAAATCAACATTGGGCTCATGGAACATGTTTTTATTGTATATACTTCCTTATTGTTAAGAATCAACTTATAACTGTGCGTGCTGTCTCTATACACACAAACACACACACACACAAGCATTTTCTTTAGCGTATTATAATTTCACTATTTCTTAGGAGCTCTCATCAGACTAGCAAATTGTCACTCCATTGCAAATAAATTAGAAAGCAGTCTTTCTGGTAGACCTGACTATGTCTTGCTAAAATAATTTTTTGAAGGTTTTAATTTCTTTCTTCATAAATTCCTTTTCATTTTTAGATTGCTGGGGAGGCAGAAGTTGGCAGTTACTTGATTTAGGACAGATTTTCTCCAGATGCTACAAAAGGCTACGACAATAAGTCTAATGGTAGGAGTGAGAAGGGCTTACTCGTGATACCAGGACCGTCAGGGCGGCAGAGTTTGGGCAGGGCATCTCCCAAGAATGGGAAGACCTGGGCAGGTTACTCTGGTCTGAGTGTTCTTATTTGTGAATTGACAAGGTAGATTAGATCATTTTAAAACATTTTCTAAGAAGCAGAATTCTTTAATAAGTCTTCCTAGAACTTGAGTATACTTAAAATATTAAATACATGGAAAGGGAGTCACTGTTGAGACTTGCCAATTTGGTCCTTTTTGACCCAAAGAGAGTAGTTTGATAACCATTAGACTGGAATACTGAGAGTCTGAAGCTGATGAACATTTTTAGATCCATTTGTTTGAAGTTTGAGACTCAGCTGATTATTTCAAAATAAAATTTACTTTAATCCTTTCTTTGACATATTATTTTTCCATATGAATAAATATATTATGTGAGCACAATACTGCTGGCCTTGACCTTCATGGGTGAATTAGCTCTGAAACACTCTCCAACCAACTGGTAATGTGTTTGTCCCACATTTCATTCTAATGGAGACTGATGAACAGCACAGCACCAAACAAATCTGAGGGGTTAGATAATGTCTGGATTAAGTAATTTAAGACTCTGTGGGATTTGAGTTGTCATTTTTGACTTATAGCTGACTTGTAGTCACTTTCTATTGCCTCATTGGTCATATTCCTAGACAGGTTTATGTTTGCTTTTCTGATCTGAATCCCTGTTTGTAAAAACACTTTTGGGATTTGCTACTCGCTTTCCTTCATTCATTTTCTTGGTTTGTCTCTGTCTCTGTTGTATTTTGTGTCTCACTAGTAAACAGTTTTATTTTTTGTTTCTTTAAATATTATTTTGACAGCAATTAATTAAGCAGTTAATTAAGAGCAGTTCAACTCTTAAAACGTCTTATATTTTCTATATAGATATACTTGTAATTATTTTAATTTTTCAATCATAGATTCAAGCTTCCTTTTTATTTACCATAAATCATTAAAGTTATTTGTGCTTCTGTATCTCTGTTTCTTCTGTAGAAGTGGCTTATTCTGCACTTGGCAGACTGAGACTGAAGGCCTTGGAGGAAATCTCAGCTGACAAAGCTTATCTTTTTAAGCAATATTTCTGAAGTATATTAGGTACTTTATTACTTAAATAATTTTGTTTTTTGAATACAGCGTAACCTTGGTAGTTTGGAATCAAGAGCGTCAGGTAGTAGTCTTAATAATTTAAAAAATGTTTTTTGAATTAAAATATAATTGACATATATCATATTAGTTTCATGTGTACATCATGCTGATTCAATATTTGTATACTGGCCACCTCGTTAACTCTGGTTACTGTTTATCACCATACAAAGTTATTACAGTATTATTGACTCTGTTCACTATGCTGTGCATTATATCCCCATGACTTAAATTTATTTTATAACTGGAAGTCTGTATCTCTTAATTCCCTTCACCAATTTGGCCTGTCCCCCACAACCTCCCAACCCCTCTCCCCTCTGACAACTGCCAGTTTGTTTTCTGTATCTGTGAGTCTGTTTCTGTTTTGTTTTTTAGATATCACATATAAATGAAATCGTACAGTAATTGTATTTCTCTGACTTATTTCACTTAGCATAATGCCCTCTAGGCCTCTCCATGTTGTCACAAATGGCAAGATTTCATTCTTTTTCATGTTGATACTGTATATATTCATTGTACATATATACCATATCTTCTTTATCTATTACCTTTTGATGGGCACTTAAGTTGTTTCTGTATCTTGGCTGTTGTAAATTATGCTGCAGTAAACTCTAGGGTAACATATCTTTTCAAGTTAGTGTTTTTGTTTTCTTCAGATAAATACCCAGAAGTGAGACTGCTAGAGCAAATGGTAGTTTTATTTTTACCTTGAGGAATCTCCATACTGTTTTCCATACTGACCAATTTACATTCCCCTCAGCAGTGCACGAGGGTTCCTTTTTCTCTACATCTTATTTTTGTCCTTTTTTTAAAAATTTGAGATATAGTCAGTTTACAGTGTGTCAGTTTCTGGTGTATAGCACAGTGCTTCAGTCATACATGAATACACACATATTCGTTTTCATATTCTTTTTCACCTTAAGCTACTACAAGATATTGAATATATTTCCCTGTGCTATATAGTATAAACTTGTTTATTTATTTTATATATAGCAGTCAGTATCTGTAAATCTAACTCCCAATTTATCCCTTCCCACCCTTCCCCCCACTGGCAACCACAAATCTGTATTGTATGTTTGTGAGTCTGTTTCTGTTTTATATATAGTTCATTTGTCTTTTTTTTTTTTTTAAGATTCCACATATGAGTGATATCATATGGTATTTTTCTTTCTCTTTCTGGCTTACTTCCCTTAGAATGACATTCTCCGGGGCCATCCATGTTGCTGTAAATGGCATTATTTTATCATTTTTTATGGATGAGTAGTATTCCATTGTATAAATATACCACAGCTTCTTTATCCAGTCATCTGTTGATGGACATTTAGGTTTTTTCCATGTCTTGGTTATTGTAAATAGTGTTGCTATATGTCTTTTTGAATTAAGGTTCCCTCTGGATGTATGTCTAGGAGTGGGATTGCTGGATCATATGGTAAGTCTATTTTTAGTCTTTTGAGGAATCTCCATATTTTTTTCCACAATGGCTGCACCAAACTGCATTCCAAGCAACAGTGTAGGAGGGTTCGCTTTTCTCCGCAACCTCTCCAGCATTTCTCCCTTGTGGCCTTTTGAATGATGGCCATTCTGACTGGTATGAGGTGACACATCATTGTAGTTTTGATTTGCATTTCTCTGATAATAAGTGATATTGAGCATTTTTTCATGTGCCTGTAGGTCATTCATATGTCTTCACTGGAGAATTTCTTGTTTAGGTCTTCTGCCCATTTTTGGATTGGGTTGTTTGATTTTTCTTTTTAAGTCATGAGCTATTTATATATTCTGGAAATCAAGCCATTGTCAGTCTCATCTTTTGCAAGTGTTTTCTCCCATTCTGTAGGTTGTCATTTTGTTCTGCTTCTTGTTTGGGACCCTCTGTGCTTCCTATACTTGGATATCTGATTCCTTCATTAGGTTTGGGGAGTTTTCAGTCATGATTTCTTCAAATACCTTTTCAATCCCCTTTACTCTTTCTGGGATTCCTATTATGCATACGTTGGCATGCTTTATATTATCCCATAGGTCCTTTATATTATTTTCATTAGTTTTTATTTGTTTTCCTCTCAGCTGTTCTGATGGGGTGACTTTTGTTGTCCTGTCTTCTAAGTCACTTACTTGTTCCTCTTCATTATCTAGCCTACTTTTTAGAGCCTTTAGTGCAGTTCTTATCTCAGCAAATGAGTTTTCCATTTTTATTTAATTTCCATTTTAAATTTTCATTTTAATCACAGTCTCTTTTAGTTCCTTCAGTAGTTTGATCACTCCTTTTTTGAAATCATGATATAGTAGACTATCAAGGTATATTTCATTGATGATTCTTTCAAGGGATTTCTCTTGTTCTTTTAATTGGGAGTGTCCTCTGCTTCTTCATTTTACGTATAACTCTGGCACTATGGATTATAGAGTATCAGTTATCTACTGTGGTCCTGAAGGGGTTTATTTATTTATCTAAAACAGATGTGGAAATACAATTAAAAAGAAGAAAAAAACATTTGAAAACAGTACAATAGAAGAACAAAGTGAAGAGAAATAAAAATCAAGTTGAGACAAGTTTTTAAAAATTTCAAAGAAAACAAGCTTTGAAAACTATAATCAATAACGGAACAAAACAAAGAAAAATCAAATTGAGACCAAAAAATTAATTTAAAAAATTTTAAAGAAAATTTTAAAAGGAATTTAAAAATTAAAAAATTAAAATTAAAGAAAAATGAAAAAAACAAAAGGTGTATGTGTTCCCGTGGAGACCGCCTTAATAATTTTGTCGAGAGGTCTTTCTTGAGTATGGGTGGTTGCCAAGTCATCCTTCCGAGCTTTTTTTCTATTATCTCTTTGGTTCAGGGTGTGTCCAGGGTTGTGGTGGCCAGAGCCTGCCCCTGGCTATTGAGCGGGGCCTCCTTTTTGTTCTGTGGCTGTTGCTGCTCCGGCC